GCAAACAGTGTGAGATTTTTATGCTAGGTAGGAGTTCAGACTCACAGGGTTCGCAGTCCTCAGAATCTATGACAAATTGGATATTGGTAGTGATTTAGGATGATGAAGTGCACAAAAATTAAATAGAGAACTCCTTTACCTTATGATCCACCAATCCCACTCCTGGGCATATATCCAAAGAAAACTCTAATTCAGAAAGATACATGTACCCAGTGTTCATAGCAGCATTACTTACAGTAGCCAAGACATGGAAGCAATATTCAACAGATGAGTGGATAAAGAACATGTAGTATATATATACAGTGGAATATTACTCAGCCATAAAAAGTAATGAAATCATTCCATTTGTAGCAGCATGGATAGACCTATAGATTATCATGCTAAATGAAGTAACTCAGACATGGAAAAGACAAATATCATATGCTATTACTTACATATGGAATCTTTATGATACAAATGAACTTATTTATAAAATGGAAACAGACAGATATAGAAAACATATTTATAGTTCCCGAAGGAAGAAGAGGGGAAGGGATTAAATTAGGAGTCTAGGATTAACAGATACAAAACTACTATATATAAAATCAACAGCAAGCTCCTCCTGTAAATCACAGGGAACTACATTCAGTATCTTGTATTAAACTATAATGGAAAATAATTTGAAAAAGAATATATACATATATACAACTAAATCATTTTGATGTACACGAGAAATTAACACAACATTATATATCAACTATACTTCAATTTTTAAAAAAGAGAGCTCTTTTTCCAGATTCTACCACTTACTGGTGTCAGCTTTGGCCCAAAAGATAGTGCCCAAGTTCTGAAACTTATTAAAATACTAGAAGGAAGGCAGAACAATTGGGAGAGTGTGCGAGGTACACAGATTGGACACCTACTATGTGCTTTGGCAACTGAATATATTTGTAACTCACTGTCACAAAACACAAATTTTCTCATTTTTCACTAATTAGCACTAATTTTTTAAATATAAAAGAGCTCTACAAATCAATAAGAAAAAAAAAAGGCCAGTGACTAATTAGCACTAATTTTTTAAATATAAAAGAGCTCTACAAATCAATAAGAAAAAAAAAAAGGCCAGTGACCCAAATTAATAATAGGCAAAAGAAATGTATAGATATGGAATAGAAAATATTATTTCTTGTACATTTGAAATGATGCTCATACACAAAATAAAAGAAATTCATTTAAAAATTATAGTGAGAAACACCTCACACCCTTTAGGATGGGTACTAAAGAAAAGAACTATAGAAAATAACAAGTGTTGGCAAGAATGTGGAGAATTGGAATTCTTGTACACAGTTAATGAGAATGTAAATGGTATATCCAGGGAGAAACAATATGGCAGTTCCCTCAAAAATTAAAAATAGAATTACCATATGATCCAGTAATTCCACTTTCGAGTATATACCCAAAAGAAATGATAGCAACGTCTGGAAAAGATATTTGTACACTTATGATCATAGCATAATTCACAGCAGCCAAAAAGAGGAAGCAACTCAGATGTCCATCAACAGTTGAACGGATAAACAAAATGTGGCATTTACATACAATAGGATATTATTCAGCCTTAAAAAGGAAGGAAATTCTGACACGTGCTACAAAATGCTTGAATCTTGAATACATTATGCTAAGTTAAATAAACCAGACACAAAAAGACAAACATTGTATGAGTCTACTTATATGAGGTGCCTAAAGTAGTCAAATTCATGGCGATAGAAGGTAGAATGATGCTTTTCAGGGACAGAGGGAGTGGAGGAGCGTGTGGAGTTAGTATTTAATGGGTACAGAATTTCAGTTTTGCAAGATGAAAGGAGTTCTGGAGATGGGTGGTAGTGATGGTTGCACAACAAATGTAAATGTGTTTAATATTACTGCACACTTTAGAAATGAGTAAGATGGTAAATTTTATGTTATGTGTATTTCATGACGACAAAAAAGGAATTTTTTAAAAATTACAATGAGATGTCATTTTAACCTTCCCTACTGGTAAAGATCAATATTAAAAAGCAGAGACATTACTTTGCTGACAAAGGTCCTTCTAGTTAAAGCTATGGTTTTTCCAGTAGTCATGTATGGATGTGAGAGTTGGACTATAAAGAAAGCTGAGCACAGAAGAATTGATGCTTTTGAACTGTGGTGTTGGAGACAATTCTTGAGAGTTCCTTGGACTGCAAGGAGATCCAACCAGTCAATCCTAAGGGAAATCAGTCCTGAATATTCATTGGAAGGACTGATGCTGAAACTGAAACTCCAATATTTTGGTCACCTGATGCGAACAACTGACTCATTGGAAAAGACCCTGATGCTGGGAAAGATTGAAGGCAGGAGGAGAAGGGGATGACAGAGGATGAGATGGTTGGATGACATAACCAACTGGATAGACAGAAGTTTGAGCAAGCTCTAGGAGTTGGTGATGAACAGGGAAGCCTGGTGTGCTGCAGTCCATGAGATCGCAAAGAGTCAGACACAACTGAGCAATTGAACTGAACTGATTGGTAAAGATTACAAATTAGAAATCTTTTTTGGCAAAATCTATATGAAAATAAGGACACTCATGCTGTGATTTTGTTGGTGGAAACATAAGCATCTAGTTTTAGGGAAGAACAATTTTTCAATATGTGTGAAGATTAAAATTGAAGTTGCTTTTTAACATTTTGGCCAAGCCATTCTGCTCCTAGGAAGCTAACTTATTCTCACATATATGATTTGGCATATGATCAAGGCTCTTCATTGCAGCAGAAGATTGGAAAAAACCCAAATGTCTATTGATAGGGGCTGGTAAAGTAGATTATTGCCATCCAATAGAAAACACCAGAATAATATGCAACTGTTAGAATGAGGATACCCAGTATGTGTGAACACAAAAAAAATCTCCAAGGGAGTGGTTAGTGTGCAAAACTGCATTATAGTGTGCTAACATTTGTGCTTTATAATAAAATGAAAAAAAATGGATCTAAGTTTTCATTTCTCTTTGCCTCAAATAAGTGCAAGTAGAGGCAAGAAACTGCTAACAGGTAAAAGTGGTCACCACTTATTGCTATGGGGAGAAATCAAACTGCTAGGGGGCAGGGTTGGCAGGGAGTTACTTTCCACTGTTTAATGCCCTTGTATTTCAAATTTAGTACTATGAGCAGGTATGATCTATTAAAAATTTTTTATTTTAAAAAAAAGAAATTACAGTCCAGAAGGAAAGAAACATAACAAATACTTTCAGCCTAAAGTCATGCACTGGGTGCTATGGGAAAGGAAAGGAAGGGTGTCTAGCATAACCCACGGGCATCAAGGATGGCTTCTAGACAAATCACCTGCAGGGAAGAAGTGTATGCTGTTGGATCAGGAATAGTTGTATACTTTCACCTGAGCGTTGGTTTATTTTTATCTCATGGACAGATCTGGAAGTTGATTCACCAATTAGAGCTTCCTTATCACTTTAGCTGTTAAAAAGTTAACAAGCCAAACTTGTGACCCATACCATACAAAGTGGGCAGATTTCTATGGTAACCATTTAGCTTTGGCATTGTACTTGACTCCATTTTGTATTCCTGCATCTGGTTTGCTTTTCCCCTGTTTGTAATGTTGGTCATCTTCCCTAGTCTATGCTTCCCTGTAAGCCACTCTACAGCCTTTTTGGTCTAAGGTGGGGTAAATGGGTGAATGAAGAAAGATGGAGGGCAGGAAAAGAAAAGAGAGAGCATGGAGGTTATAGAGCAATGCCTATGATTTTCCTTGGCTCCATCACATAGATTAAGTGAACACTAGTACAGGATTATTAAAGTGGGCTCCTTAGACCAGAAGCATCACTAATCATCTGTGAGTTTGTGAGTCATGGATTTCACTAAATCTACTAAATCAGAATTGCTGTGGGAAAGGCCCAGGAATCTGCTTTAACATGCCCTCCAGATAATTTTTATGCACATTAATATTTGAAACCGCAGGGAAGCCAAAGAAAAATTGATTTCTAAACATGAAAGTGAAAGTCACTCAGTCGTATATGACTCTTTGAGACCCCATGGACTTATACAGTCCATGAAATTCTCCAGGCCAAAATACTGGAATGGGTAACCTTTCCCTCTCCAGGTGATCTTCCTAACCCAGGAATCAAACCCAGGTCTCCCACATTGCAGGCGATTCTTTACCAGCTGAGCCACCAGGGAAGCCCAAGAATACTGGAGTGGGTAGCCTATCCCTTCTCCAGAGGAGCTTCCCAACCCAGGAATTAAACCAAGGTCTCCAGCATTGCAGGCAGATTCTTTACCAACTGAGCTATCAGGGAAACCATAAATACTTTCTATTTTCCCCACCATACCCTTTTATTGGTCAAGATAATAATGCTGCTATTGCCATTTTAGTTGCTCAGTTGTGTCTGATTCTTTGCAACCCTGTGGACTGTTGCTCACCAGGCTCCTCTTTCACCATGGGATTTCCCAGGCAAGAATACTGGAATGGGTTGCCACTTCTTTCTCAGCTACTGCAGTAAACAACTCCCAAAATTTCATTAACTTAACACACCAAAATTTTAGTTTTTGCTCACTTCACAGTCCAATATAGATCACTGTGGGGGTGTTAAGAGCTGTTTTATTAATTTGTTCAGCCAATCAGCTTCTTTCATAGTAAGGCTTTACCATCTTCTGGCTGCTTGGACTCCTCCTCTGGATCCTCTGCATCAAAGAAGGCAAGGGATAGAGGCAAGAGAAAGGCTTTAGCGCTGTGGTACCTGGAAATAATGCCCATCTTTTCTGCTCACAATTCCACTGGTCAAAACCCAGTCACACGGCCTACTTAGTGTGGGGGTGGGGGTTGGGAAATAGGATATGTCTGTAGGGTTAGGAGAAAAAGAAAATGGCTTTGATGAACACACTGTATCATCTTTGCCACACCCATGGGCTGAAGTGAATTTCAAGCTCCACTTTGTGACATTTTGGTTTTTGGTTTCATTTTCTAATCGAGTTTTATCTTCTCTGTTTTAACTCTAGCACCATGGGACTGCGAAACACTCTCATTGTGATGGCCCTCCTGCTCTCTGGTAAGCACACTTTTGGCTTTATAAAGTCCTAGAATCCTCCTACTATCTCCCCATGAACCTGAACTGCAAGCTGGGGCTTGAGACTTGATGGGTTTTACTCACTTTCTATTCAGTGTTCGCAAGACCACAAGCCAAAAAGACTTTCATGGAGAAGAAGGAAGCATCATAGTTGAGAACAGGTATCTCAGCTGATGGCAGGTCCAACCTGAGATGGAGCCCACGCCTTCTGCCATCTTACACCTGCTTAAATGCCCCTCAGCTAATCATATCAGCTGCTCTACCATCAAGCTAAGGGGCTAAGCTTCAGGGCTTCTCACCTGCACAGTTCTTTCCAAACCACTCCAAGACCTCAGAAGGAGCCTTAACAGTGCAGTCACGGGTCTTAGGTCTTACTAAAGTTTTCATTAGTAAGATATTTTAACCACAATAAGTTAAGACCATTGTCTCTTTCCACTGTGACTTTTTTTACTTGTCTCTCTGTCACATTCTCCCCCTATTGAGCAGCGTTGCAGTGACCATGGGCATTTTGTTTTGTGTTCTGTATTCTTTTTTTTAAAGAGCTCCTCTCTCTCAAAATAAATTTTAGAAGTGTCAGGCCTCAGAAAACTCCAACCTTCCCTGTTTGCTGCTTTCTCTCAGTTTACTTTCATCAGTAAACTGGGGCTGGCCAAGGTTCCTGCCACTCATCTTGGGACTGGGTGCTGTTAGTTTCTCCTGACCCATGCTCTTCCTGCTGCTTGTCTTCCCCGCCCTCCGCGCTGAGAGGGAAGTGTCCTGGTCCTGGTGTGGGGCAGACGGGGAGGGGTAGCCCACCTGCTGTTTGGCTGCAGCAGAGCACAGGCTGCCCCTAACTAACTAGACTGGCCATGAGCTCACCTCCTCCCAGTGGCCACGCAGAAGGCCCTTGGCCACTGACCTCATCCCTGCTGTGGTTGACAAAGAGTCAGGCTACGAGGGAAAGAGTCTCCCTCAGATTGATGCTGGCTGGGACAGGCTTTTGGGGATGTGCTTTCTGCTTAGCACCCTGGAGCTTTCTGTGTCTGTGCTATAGACATGTTACCTGATCTACAGATGGGCTAACAGATCACTGACTTTGGTCATAATACTAGCTTTCACCTCCCAGGACCAATATGATTTGCTATTTTAACTCTTGAGAAAGTAGAAGTTATGTGTGAGCAGGGGCAGAGAGAAAGGGGTTGAAGCAAAGCTTTGGAGAACATTATCCAGCAAGAACCTCTTCCCATCCCACTTCTGATTTTTTTATTTGACAAGCATACAGATGTAGCACTTACAAAAATTTGTGCCAGGTGCTGTTCTAAGCATTTTATAGATATTAACTCATTTAAACATCATCATAACTCTGCTTTAGGTGTTGTTATGATTCCCTATTTTACAAATGTACAAACTAAAACCCAGAGAGGTTAAGTAATCTGCTTAAGACAACATTGCTGATAAATGGCAGAGCTTGAGTTCATACCCAGCAGTATAGATGCAGCATCTGTTCAGTTCACCTTAACACAATGCTACTTCTCCTAACTTTTGCTAGGGAACCTTTCATATAGTAGGATTTGTCCCTTGGGCACCCGAACAGGTTTGATAGATCATGTGGCTTGTGCCTCAGTCAAGTTCACAATTTTCCCATCAAATACATCCTCCAAGTTCCCTGCAGTCAATTCCTTAGCTGTCCCTACAGCTTGGGCCCTGGTCTTTGTCATACAGTGACCAGCCCAGGTCTTATAACTTGGGAGAGAAGAAAGAAAAATGGCCTGAAAACAGAAAAGTCTGAATTGAGATATCATTCACCCCTTCTCCCCCTAAACTTTCTGACTCTGGCCATGGAAAGTGAAAATAAAACTGAGAAACCTCACCAAAATTGAGTCCAGGTGTCACTTTTGCCCTTGCTTTGCGTTTGAAATTGCTTCAACACTTCCTGACTTCTGAAAAGAGTTGTCAATACTGAAATTTTAAAAATAACTCCTCCAAATAGAAGTCATTTAAGCTTTATGGTGATGAGAGAATAGTGGTTATATTTTTGGCAGTACAAATTTAAAGTGGGATAGAAGACAGTGACACTTGATTAGAAGATAATATTGCCAGTACTTCACACAGGATTAAAAATAACAACAACAAAACAGATTTCATTCTTATGTAAAGAATGAAAAGGAACCGTTCTCCCTTTCTTGTTTCTACTTGAGCTTCGTCTCTGGTACTGCCACGCAGACTAAGTCAAGTAGAACCAAGAAAAAAGTTTTCTTTCCCAATAATTTTTGGAGGTCTTGTGAGATTAAACAAGACCAATAAAAAAAAAAAGAATGAAAAGGAATCCATCTGAATCTCATCTTTCTTCTCAGGGCACATCTCTGCTTACTGGGTTGGCGAGCAATGACCTACTCATAGGCAGGCATCCAAAGGGAGAAACGGGATGCAATTGACCCAGCAAAAACACAGGGCTGAATAATTCATTTGACAGCAGATATAAAACAATGCAGTGAAATAATTCTGTTTCTCCTTTTCTCCCTAATATGTTTTGTGTCTTCCCCTAGTCATGGAAATCAGACAATGTATTTGCTGACTCTGCCCCTGAGGCAAAAATTGGATGAGAGTTTGAAACCTAAAAGGGCAAGAAGGCAGCCTTCTTGCATAATTAGATTATAATTTGTGCTTAGATTATAATTTGTGTTTAGATTAAAATTTGTGTTTATTAGATAAAAATTTGTGTTTATAAAGCTAAAGGAATGTTGAGCTGCCACGAGCAAAGGTACCTCTAGGTCCAGCTCTGTTTGCTGCTATCCCAGCACCTCCAGTAATACTTAAATCTGGAGTCAGAGTGGTATTTGGGAAATCAATAGTTCACACATCAGGAGGAAGTTTCTTCTTAGTTTGACTTCTGAAGGATGCTCTCTTATTGTCTGGAGGTTCTCTGGGTCCTAGGGCTTCTCATTTCTCTTGAACAATACTTCTGGTTGAACAATTAATATACAAGGAGTAGTTGGGGGTTCTTCCTTCACTGTTAAGATTTACATAAAATTGGCTCAAACCTTCATTTTGTATCTGTTGTAAAGGTTTATTGTTTCTCCCAGATTTTTCCAGGTTCCTATATGGGTGGTTGCGTGTTTGTATGGCTACTTTGACTCCCACTTCCTGTTGCTGTTGATAGTGGTCACTATAATCACAGAGGTGGATAGATAGTTCAGACCTAATTCCCAGATTCCCAAAGAAGTGTCATGGAGCCTCATGGTTCTCCTTTTGGAGTCACTCCTTTAAAATTAAGGTACTGTTTCAGGGGTATTTGAAATACTTGTGTGCTTCCCAGTAAGGAGTATCTTACTTCTGAAGTAGTGGATCATTTTAATGTTTAGTAGGTTCCAGAGAGAATGGGCTGTCTGACAAGTTAATTTATTGGAAGATGGTCACTGAATAGGGTAAGCATGGGGTTGATTGGGAGCAGGGGTGATATCTGTAGGGAGCAGAGAGGCTCCAATGGCGAACAAACTACTTCGGGAAGAGGCAAGAGTTTGAGAGACTGTAGCTTGTTTTTCCTTTGTGAGAGATCTTAATACCATCTCCAAATTATGCAACTCAGGATTTCAGTCCCCTCGGTACTGTTGAGATTTACGGAAACAAAAAATACTTGTAATCCTTCCTTTATAGCCATTGGCAGCCACAGGGCCAAATTCCAGGGCCTCACAATTACAAAAACTCTTTCAACATCCTCTAACAGTATTTACCCATCCTTGGTTTCATTTTCACTTTCTTTCATTCCTTCTCCCTGTAGATGTCTCTATTAAAAAGTATTCCGCTCTCTGCACTATTTAAAAATCACTTCTGTGGTCCTTACAATAATGTAACAGGCGAGAGAATAAAAATAGTTATGTATAGTTATGACCACAATATACATGCAAATCCCTGAATATGTTTTATTCAGTATTGTTTCATACACACTGTTTCAAGATTCTAAGTTCCTTTCATTTTTCATTTTATCATATGTGAAACGAATCACCAGTCCAGTTTTGGTGCATGATACAGGATGCACTGAACTATTAGTTCAGTGAGTCAAAATGCTGTAATTTGCTTTATTTGTGTGTGTTTTATTCATTCAGAAGTAATTGCCCCCATTGTCTTCTTTGATTTATGGTTGCTGAGAAGTTTTCATTCTAATTGTCATTTTTTAAAAATTTTTAAAAAATTAATTAATGTATTTATTTTACTTTAAAACATTGTATTGGTTTTGCCATACATTGACTTGAATCCGCCATAGGTATACATGTGTTCCCCATTCTGAACCCCCTTCCCACCTCCCTCCCCATCCCATCCCTCTGGACCAGCCCCAAGCATCCTGTATCATGCACCAAAACTGGACTGGTGATTCGTTTCACATATGATAATTTACATGTTTCAATCCCATTCTCCCATATCATCCCGCCCTCGCCCTCTCCCAAGAGTCCAAAAGATTGTTCAGTACATCTGTGTCTCTCTTGCTGTCTCACATACAGGGTTATCGTTACCATCTTTCTAAATTCCATATATATGCGTTAGTATACTGTATTGGTGTTTTTCTTTCTGGCTTACTTCGCTCTGTATAATAGGCACCAGTTTCATCCCCCTCGTTAGAATTGATTCAAATGAATTCTTTTTAATGGCTGAATAATATTCCATTGTGTATATGTACCACAGCTTCCTTATCCATTCGTCTGTTGATGGGCATCTAGGTTGCTTCCATGTCTTGGCAATTATAAACAGTGCTGCAATGAACATTGGGGTGCACATGTCTCTTTCAGATCTGGTTTCCTCAGTGTGTATGACTAGGAGTGGGATTGCTGGGTCATATGGCAATTCTATTTCCAGTTTTTTAAGGAATCTCCACACTGTTCTTCATAGTGGCTGTACTAGTTTGCATTCCCACCAACAGTGTAAGAGGGTTCCCTTTGCTCCACACCCTCTCCAGCATTTATTGCTTGTAGACTTTTGGATAGCAGCCATCCTGACTGG